TCATGTTCTCCTAAAAGTGACGACAAACAGGAGGCAGTGTTTTTCAGATTTATTTAACTTCAATATTGCATACATACAAAGTATCTAGAAAGCTACAAAATATCTACTATTGTCAAGAAGGCATCATAATGTTACGGAGCAAAGACACGACCATATGCAGAACACAGAAACATAGCAGAGCGGCTTTTCTCTCCTTTGCTCCAACACTTTACTGTCATGGATATGAAAAGATATCACACATCTGTACCAAGAAAAGCTAAGATATAATTTTATACAAAGCACCTTTTTACAAAAAAAAAAAAAAAGAGAGAGAGAAAACATCTGCACACAAAAACCCAGAATGTGTGAATGACAGCTATACGTGAGCTATGTCAAGAATCACTTTAAAGCCACCGTCTGAAATGGTCAGAAAACAGAAAGGTACCAGTACCTACTCTTCCAAAAAAAACAAAAATTACAAATAACAAGAGCTAAACTGCTGATATGTTTATAGCATGATTCCTCGACTGATTTTCTATTCTTATGGTCCACCAGACATTCGAGCCGTCAGAGGCGTCAGTCCTGCTGTTCTTCTTCGTGTTAAGACGTCTACGTGTACCAGCAGTGCAGCAGTAACATCATCTTATTGGGCTTGTAATATACAGACAATGTCATCACGAAACCAAGTAATACAGGTACGATAAGAAAACAGGAACATCTCACTATGTGATCAATAAACGTGAACAGGTACAACAAACAGAAGGAAACAAAAAGCCTATCACAGCCCCACAGCGTCCGCGGGGCCGCGGCCGAATACTGAATGATTGAACTTTTATCTGCATCCACCAGCGACATTGTCTGCAATCTACATCTTTGATTAAAATACTTGAGATGAGTGTCATTTCTTTTTTTTAGTAGTAGTTGTGGTCCTTACAGTGGAAGCCTCCATGCTCTTAATTTAGCGTCTCAAACGGGTCGGGAAAGCGATCCCAGGACAGAAATCCATTTAAATAATTTATTTTTTTCTCCTCGTGAATAAAAGCTTGTGTCGGTCCCTGCTTCGTCAACTTACATCGCCGAAGTTCTGCGATTTTGTGTTCAGGGGAAAAAGGAAATGCTTCCCAAAAACAAACACTTGAACCTGCAAGTGCTCGCGAAGCTTCAGTGTTTCTGAGTCGACCTCCTGCAGGCCGGACCACACCGGACCACACCGGACCCAGTCGTTCAAGCAAAGAAATAGCTTTTCTTCAAATACATAATTTGCAAAAAAAAAAAAAATCAATCTACACTGTAGTAAAACTGAATATATCATTTCTTTACTTTCACCAGTAACTATCTTTCCCCCTGCTGTCATGACAGTCCTCTGAAAGGCAATGTGGTGATTGGTGTCACTCATGTCTCGGCGTATTTGGTCTAGCAACGTTTAATTTTAAATTTCTGTTTGATCTTTTTGAATTTTTTTTTTTTTTAAACCAAAGGCACTTTTTAAATTTTTTATTTTTTTTGCTACCATGCAGGACGTGACAAAAGATTTGACTGTATCTCTGTATTTTTTCTTATTTTTTGGTCTTCTGCGACAGGAAAGGCAGTCGGTCTGTGTTTATAGCACACTCCTAGAAAAAAGGCGGATATTTTCGGAACATATTACAGCGTTGGAGAGAAAAAAAATAACCTGTTTCTGAGCTCAGATTTACAAACTTAATTTAACATAAGTGTACTGCCTGTCAACAACACAAAGTGTGTTTCTTGGAGTGTACCAATTTGAGGAATTTCTCAGATGAGAAGATATACCGAGTAATACACGGGTGAGTTATTTTTGCCTGTTTCATCCACAGAACTGAGCAAACGGGTAATGTTAGAGTATATTCTAAGGCACTGTACACTTACACTTTGGCAGATTGTGATTTGTTTTTTGTACACAATGCAAACACACAGAGAGTCTTCCCCACATAGAGATCACAGTTTTAGTGGCATCTTTTGGACTTTAACATACAGCTTCAATATGTTTAAGGCTCGGGATCAGCGTAGGGCACAGAAACATGTGAGCGTGAAGGCTTGGAGTTATTACACCACGATCCCAGAGGGGAAAGATATTCTGAGTCTTTCAAAAGAGGAGGAGGAGGAGGAGGGCAAAGCCACGGCACGCTGAACGCCGTCTCCAAGAGATCTGTAGTGTCACCATAATTTCAATTGTTCTAAAACCACAGAGAACAAAAGTAAGCATCACTAAGGCAAGCACAGGAAGGGGAACAAAGTGCTTCTGGACCAGATGAGAGTCCAATTGGAGTAATCTTAGCAGTACTTTCACCTGTCTACAACCTAACAACAACAAAAAAAAAAAGAAAAATCCTCTTGTCGCTTGTTTGCGGCGGCACCACAGAGATGCTTAGCAGGCGGTAGGCAGGACTTCCCGCATTTATGGAGCAGATGCAGGAAAAAAAAAAAACGTTTGTAGTGTGTTCACAGTGCATTTTATTCTGTTGTTGGTGTCTAAGACTCGGAGTGCTTCAACAGGGATAAATAAACGACTAAAAGCTGAGTTTTTCAAGAAGTAGCAGTTCTGCGTTATTCACAACGATTTGCTTCCGGCTACTATATATATATATACACATTTATATATATATATAGTGTTGTTAGTTCTGTTTCTTTGGAAAGTCTATTGGCTGTGGGTGCGTGTCTGTATCTACAGTATGTACGCTCACAGACGATGGAGTACAGACGTAAAAACACCCTCGAAACATATTACACACAGACCACGTCAGGCGGCGGATAGAAAAGGCCTGCATCCTGCTGTTTTTCTTTTCTTTTTTTTTTTAAAAGTCTACATAACAAAGCAGAAGAAGACGACACACACACGTATTTCCATTTATCAAATGAATCTAGTAAATTCTTTAAGAACGGCCACATTTATACCCAACGGAGACCAACTCAACGCATCTCAAATGAGAATATTTAAACATAAAACAACTGTACCGCAATTCACAGCTGCAGTCAAATAACAAACACTTATATTAAAACGGATCCGACTTCGCCCGACATCTTGACCAGAGAGCATCGCGGGTATGACTTTCTCGTAGAGGCACTGCCACTTGTTTTGAGGTTGGTAAGTCTATGAAGAGAAGAAGAAGAAGAAGAAGAAGGGGGTAGAGGGTAGGGAGTCGATCATTCCTTTACCAGTCTGTAGATGTGATGCTGGGCGCCGTGCTCACTGTTCGAAACCTCAAACACACAGGCCATACATAGCAACGTCTCCTGGGTGTCCCTGTTCGTCACCACCTGGAAGAGGAAACACAGTCGGCGTCACAGGAGCGCCGTGCTCGATGCATTCAGGTACATGTCAGTCACTGGAGCTGCTGGTCATGAATGGATGCATCAATTATTTGTTTACATACCAGAGCATCATCAATGTGTCACGTGAGGAGGACAATCAGTTAGAATGTTGGTGCTGTTATTGGAACAGGCTTCACACATAGAGCTTCATGATAGAATGAAAAGATCATAAATA